CCCCAAAACCCCAAAACCCCAAAACCCCAAAACCCCAAAACCCCAACCATCATATTTTCGAATGAAAAGCTAATTATTAAAATTATCTGAATCAGCTTTTAAAATGGAATAATATTAATTTGAGGGAAATTACTTCACAATCTGCTCAAAGCCATAGATGTTTCTCCACTTCTCCTCCAGAGAGATACTCTCTGGAGAAGTGGAGCCATCAGACTCTAGCTTGAAGGAATTGATCCCATTCTTGTAAAATTTATTCAGAGCTGTGTAGCCAGTCCAATACTCTGGCTCGATTGGGTCTGAGTTAAGCGAGCCAGACATCTTGCCTTTGTAGATGAGTCTTAATTCATCTAACTCCTTTGAAATAGACCTTGTAGCCTTGTTCCAGATATCCAAAGCTGAATCGTTTATGTTATGCTTGAAATAAAACCAAAGTACACCATATTTTGATTCTGAATGAATGCATGAGTTCTTGAGATCTTCAATCTTGCTATTTTCACCTTTGAGAGTGTATAATTTATATAGCTCCAAAAAGCTGTCTCCATATTGAGGAGTATGCTGTATGGCATATTTTAAATATTTTTCTGCCTTATCAAGATCGAATTTATGAGAAACAGGTGACATTCATAATCTGCCTCCTTCTCACCATACTTCACCACTTTTAGGTATTTTCTGAGTAGCTTTCAAGAAAACTGCGTAGGCTTTGGCGCTATCCTCAGCATTTTTCACCTTAGCATGTTTTAGTTGAATCAGAGTTGCCCAGAGTCTTCCATTAATACTATGATTCTTCAATGACTCTTTAACAAGGACTTCAGCCTTATCAAACAGCCCATTTCTGAGTAAAGTAAGTACGGATTCAAAGAAGACTTTCCAGTCTCCAGCGAAATTCTTTCTTGCCTTTTCTAAGATTTTTTGAGTGATGTCAACTCTTCCAATAAGTTCATAGTACTTTGCGTATTCGATGAACCCGATGCTTTCCTTCTTCTGAGGAATTTCAAACAGAGCTTTCTCAATTAAACTCTTTGAGGATTTCTGGGAGCCGATCCGAGCCTCAATTCTTGCTCCGATAATCCAGATTTTCCAATTATGAGCTTTGTTAGATGCCTTCGTAGCCAGAGAGAGATATTTCCTGGCCAAAGAGATATTCTCCTTTCTCTCTTGATACTGAGCAGCTTCTAGGTATAGTTTGGAGATCAGATCTGATGATTTAGAGCAGATATACTCAACACCTTCAGCTACAAGGTCTTCTATATTATTTCCAAATCTGAAGGAGTAGCCTTTTTGTACCTTAGAGGCTAGCTTTATCAATAGGAACCAGAGGGGTCCAAAGTTCCAGTTGTAATCGATACCTTCCTCGCAGATCTGAATAGCTTCCTCTATATTTCCTATTCTTTCCTCAAATTCAGCTGTTTTCTGGAATACCTTGCCGTTTCTGTTAAATTTCTTGCATAAGAATTTGAGGCATTTCTGGCTTGTCTTAATATTCCCTTGTCTACCTTCAAAAAGGATACCTTCAAGAAGAAGTTTATAAGTATCTTCAATCTTGTTGTTCTTAAGGGACCCAATCAATCTTCTAACCTCAGCGTTGTTGCCTTCCTTCTCTTCAATTTTTAGAGTTTTCAGGAACAATTTCTCATTTAGAGGGATAAATTTTAGTCCTCTCTTAAGCAAGGTCCTTCACTTTTCAATATTCCCAAGCTCCTCTTCCATCTTGGCATGGTCTAGCCATCCTTGATGAGCAAAAGGCTGCAGATGAGTGACGACCTTGAAGAAGGTATTAGCCTTATGGAACTCGTTTTCCCTCTTAGCGTAATCAGCCAGGTCTAGAAATACCTTCCAGTGGACTTTCTTAGGCAAATCACTAATTTGGGAAAAGACTTCCTTGATCATCTTTGAGATGCCAAGCTTTTCCCATTCCTTAACTGATTGGCTAAAGTTCTTGTATTGAACCATTGAGGGAGAATTCTTGTCCTCAATGAGGTCCTCCTTGAGTCTTTTAGATACCATCTGGATAGATTTCTTACTCTCTATCGGAGTTGGCATCACGGTGTTGATGTAATTCATGAGATATTTCGTATTCTGGTTTTCCTTTTCAGACTTATCAACTAATTCCTGTTTTGAATTCTCTTTCTCAGAAATCTTCGATTTCGAAATCGGCTTTGCAACAGAGTCGAAGTTCAGCTTTCTTGCAGTCGTAACAGATACCTGTTTACTGCCGATTCCATTCGATGATTTGAAGAAATTAGAATTACTGAAAGCTGTCTTCAAGTTTAATTTAGCAGAAGGAACGGACTTCTTGAAATTCATAGGTTTCTCAGGAGATACCTCCTCGTCACAAATAACATCAAGGATCCATTTGGTGTCAATGTCCTCGACTTCACGACTCTCATCGTCATCTTCAAATAATTTCTTAGCGCCTTTAGCCTTTTTGCCAATCTCTGATTTGATTGGTGAGGGAGGAATTATGATTGGGCTCAAAATTCCATAACTATTATCTCTTTGGTGGTTGAAATTTGAAAGAAGATTCCTGTCATGATGCCTATACCAAGTAAATCTCAAAGCTTACATTCTCCTTTCGCTAGCATTGTCGTATACAAAGCTGAAGTCCTTGCGATTCTCCTTCACTCAATGAGTGTAAGACAATTTCTTCTGCATTGAAAAAGGTGGAATCATCTTTAGAGACTCCCTAGCTGGAGTAGATTCTGCCTCCGTAAACGGGGAGAACAGATTATGGTCATACTGATAGCCAAGGAAAATTTTACTGTCCCTGTCAGCATGGTTAGTTACATTTGAGATATACTTTCTTATCTCAGGTCCATTCCAATTACTGTTGTGCTTCTGTGAACCGTTTAACGGTAAATTTTTCTCAGGTTGAATTGGAGTCCCTGATTGGCTCAAATTCATATCACTTGATGATCAATCAGAAGCATATGGAGACTCACATCCATTACTGCTCAGAGTTTTGGCACCAAATAAGTCTCTCTGAACCACTTCTAAATGAAGAAATGAGCAAAGTTCTCCTCTCGTGGAAACTTACTCTTCAAAACAGAATTCTGAGGATATGAAGCCTGCTTATTTATTGGGATAAAGCAGTTCGAATTGGAAGTAAGCTGCCCATTTCCTTTACCATTTCCAAATAAACTAAATCTATGTGAAATTAGAAACTTAATGACATATCTAACTCTAAAATCGCTATTTGCATATAATTTTAAGCCTCATTGCCAAGCAAAGATTTTCCACAAAATCATGTGACTATTATGAGTCAAGAAATGTAAACCAACTTGAAAGCCTTCAGTCCAAAAAAGTAGCACAAATCTAAGTATGGGACAAAAACTAGAATAGTAATTAAAAAGAGTCAACAGCTAGGTCATTTGGTTCCTTTCCACTAACACTTTAAATCTTTCCCATGTACAAATCTTTGGTGTCTTACTCTTTTCCTTCAGATCGAGCCTCTGTGGTCAACTTCTCATGTATAAAGCCCATTGGCTTATTAGGAATAGGAGTCATATAATTCTCTTTAACTGCCATCTCAGATATTTTTCCTTAATAATTTTATATTTTAACGATCTATACCCTTAATAACATAAGGGGTTTTGGGGTTTTGGGGTTTTGGGGTTTTGGGG